CTGGCTGGGGAATTCTGGGAGTTGAAGTCCACACGTCTTAAAGCTGCCAAGTTTGAAAAACACTGGGCTAGATGATGATAATGATAGATTAAATTTTGATCCAGCCTTTTATATATTTTGCTCAGTCCGAGTTGGTAAAACTCAGCTCGGTTTGGTCCCGGTTGAGAAGGCTTGGCAGGGAACAAGATGGAGGATTTGCACTTGGTGCTTTTATTGTTCTTGGAAATAATAAGAATTATAATAATAACAACTATTCTATTTTTATCCTGCCTTTTTTATATATCACTCAAGGCAGCGAACATACGTAATATTCCTGCTTCCTATTTTCCCCATAACAACTCTGTGAGGCGGGTTGGGCTGACTTTCATGGCTAAGGTTAAGGAAATGAAGGTTAGGGAGGCACAAAGGCTGTGGAGCAGTCCATGGCAGAAGGCGCCTTTGGGTTAAAAAATAAATAAATTATTACTGGACCTTTTAAAAGGGTTAGGGTTAGGGTAGAGGCTGTTATGATATATTATGGGACCTTTTATTTATGTAGTTGAATGTATTAATCCCCCCAATGGACTCTGGGCAGTGTACGAAACTGAAAAAGCCGTAAAAACAGATAAAACCTCAAACCAAGGCTAAAAGAATGTTATCAGTAACTTAAATCAAACAAAATAGGCCCTAGACAAACAATAATATGTGAACCCCAGGCCTGGGAGCAAAGGCAAGTTTTCAGAGCTTGCTGGAAGCCTAGGAGAGAGGGTGCAGTCCTTCTGGGGATGGGATGTAGTTTAAATGTTCCTTATTTTGTGTTATGATTTATTGTATGATGTTTTCATTTGTCATTTTATTCTCTGTACTGCACTTAGTTATAAGTACGTAATAAACTAAACAATAACTAAAATGGTTACTAATACTATATGAAAACTTATAGGGCTGTGGTTGTGCAACCAGCTTTTAATGAGTCATGCTTACTTGGTTAACCAGATTTTCAGGTCTTTTAAGGCATACTAAATCATAAATTAATATGACACTGTGTTTACACAACCGCTAAGTTGAGATGTGTTTGGTTAGTGTGATTCTGTATGTCAGGCTAGCCCATCCAAGGACTTTTGTATTTTTCACCAACAGTTTTGACTCAGATGTTGCTTCCTCTTCTTATTGTAGCTGGAGTTTGCTGTCCAGATGACTTGTCAAAATTGTATGGAGACTGTTCAGGAGACATTGCAAAAAGTGCCAGGTGAGATCAGCATCAGAATGATCAATATTTTTTTAAAGGGCAGTTCCTTCTCTCTCCCCACCACCTCGGTAGTTTATTTCCTCACTACTTCATTTCACCTAGTTTGGAAATTCCATGGATGCCCAAAGAGTGTGTTCAGAAGTCAGCTCAGTTTTCCATCCAGCTCTGAGTAGGAAGGACTCCTGGAATACTCAGCCCATACAGTACAGAGCAGCAGTTTGGAAAAAAAGCCTAATTCCATTCAGTGCTGGAAGCCTTGTTCTGGTTGCTGGAATACTATTTTCTTTGTTAATCACGGTACATTACATCATAAGAAAGATGGAATATTCGTTTTTAAAATACCTGGAATGAAAAGGTGGGTCTGCCTTTGCTAGCCTGCTTCTCTCCAGATACATTAGATTACAGCTCCTTTTATCTTCCAGCCTGGTGTGGGATAGTATAGTCCAGTGTTCTCAACCTTGGCAACTTGAAGATGTGTGGATTGCAACTCCCAGAATTCCCCAG